CCAAGGGCTGGACGGGCTGTCTGAGCGCTGTGCCCAGTACAAGAAAGATGGTGCTGACTTTGCCAAGTGATGCTGTGTGCTGAAGATTGGTAAACATACCCCTTCAGCCCTCGCCATCATGGAAAATGCCAATGTGCTGGCCCGTTATGCCAGCATCTGCCAGCAGGATGGCATCGTGCCCATTGTGGAGCCCGAGATCCTCCCCGATGGTGACCATGACCTGAAGCGCTGCCAATATGTCCCTGAGAAGGTGCTGGCTGTCGTCTACAAGGCCCTGAGTGACCATCACGTCTACCTGGAAGGCACCTTGCTGAAGCCCAATATGGTAACCCCCGGCCATGCCTGCACACAGTTTTCCCATGAGGAGATTGCCATGGCAACTGTCACCGCACTGCACCTCACCGTGCCCCCTGCTGTTACCAGGACCACCTTCCTGTCTGGAGGCCAGAGCGAGGAGGAGGCGTCCATCAACCTCAACGCCATCAACAAGTGCCCCCTGCTGAAGCCATGGGCCCTGACCATCTCCTACAGGCGAGCCCTGCAGGCATCTGCCCTGAAGGCCGGGGGTGGCAAGAAGGAGAACCTGAAGGCGGCCCAGGAGGCGTACATCAAGCGAGCCCTGGCCAACAGCCTGGCCTGCCAAGGAAAGTACACTCCAAGCGGTCAAGCTGGGGCCGCAGTTCCTCTTCTTCTCTAACCACGCCTACTCAATGGAGGTGGCGTGAGGCTGCCCCCTCAACTCTCCAGGCCCCCCGCCCCCTCCCATGCCCACCTCGTGATGGGAGGGCACCACCTGGGCTCCAGGCCACGCTTTCCTCTCGCCGCCTTTGTGACAGTGGTGTGCGGTGGTGTCTGTGTGTGCTAACTCCATCGCCCTTTCCAGCTCACTGCCAATAAACAACGGTTTAAAGGGAAAAAAAAAAAAGATTTTATTTTCACATATAATTTGTGAGGCATTGCAAAACAGTGCCTGTGCCAACAGTGTGGGGGTAATAGATCTGCCCAATTAGCAGGCCGAGCCAGTACCGCATCCCATGTAATCAGTGCCCAATTCAGAACTACAGAACAGAACCAGTTCCTGGGCTCACCAGCTCCTCGCATGCTCCCTGTCACTCACTAACCCTGCCCACCAATTGGTACCAGTCTTCTGACTCATTTTGTCTTTTTTTTTTTACTGGAAACGTCTTCTTTATCCTTCAATCATATTCATAGTTCATAATTATATTATATTTATATAATGTATAATTACATATGTATTATAGCTTATATCATCATATTATATATTATAGTGTATTAATATATATTGTATTTTATATTCTCTATATACGTTATATTTATATAATTGATCATTTTATTTCAAACATCATGGCGTCTGTGGCTAAAGTTCAAAAGATTCTGTCTTGGTGGCATAGAGGTGGGATATTTGAGAGCAAACACGCCCAACATAAGAGAAACAAGTGAGGGAGGAGGCAGTCGCTTCCGTTTGCTTGCCTTCTCTTGGCCAGGAAGCGTGAGTTCTGAGCTTTTCCTCAGGCTGCTCCAGGCGTCGGGGAGGGCGAGGCTGTGTGCTAGGGACTACATCTCCCAGCAGGCTGTGCTCTGACAGCTCTCGGATTTAAACAGGATCCTGGGCTGTGCTTAGAGCAGGGCTTGTTGCTGAGTGAGAAAAGCAAGCAGCAGCCAAGAGTTGGAGGCTGAATAAGAACTGGATTTCAAGCCAGAGACAAAGTCGGAGCCGAAGCCGCAGGAAGTAAAGAACTTGAGAAGATGCTGGTGATCTTAGGAATACTTATCTCTCTCTTTTCTTTCCTGTACATGGCAGCTCCATTCATCAGGTTTGTCTGAGTTCCCCATCTCATTAAGCGTTTCACATGGCTGGGACTTGGGAGCCAGCTCTCAGCTGCTGGTGAAAGAAACAGGGTTGGAGGTCGAAGGAGACAAAGTCAGGGCAGAAAAGGCAGGAAGGAGGGCAGTGGTTATGGATACCCTGGTGGAAAACTGAGAAGGAGGCACCTGGGGTTGGGGGAGGAGGGACCGGTCTGAATTCTGACACCAGTGGGAGGCTGAGGAGCTGACTTACTTTATTAAGTAGTTCAGCTGGCCTTTAGCTGGGGGTCCTTGCTCATTCTCCTTGTTCCCATGGGTTTCTCTGAAGGTCTTCCTTTTTTCTCTGACCTGGTCAGGGTGACCCTTCCCGGTTCTCATGGATGGTCAGTGCCAAGGGACTCATTGCTCGCACCCCGCACACAGGGAGGGAGAACTCTTTCTCCCCCGGATGATTCTTGGGATGGCTCTTTTGCTGTAGGGCTTCTGGAGGGGCCAAGGACATGTTCTGAGTAGAGAATTTGAAAACTGCTACTGATAACTAAGGTTAAATGGACACACCAAGGACAGAAGGTACCTCTGGGACCTGGTACAGAAACCCAGGTACACATTCTGGGCCAGCCACTGTTAGCAAGTGACTTGAACTTCTTTGAGCCTCATTTTTCTTCACTGTAAGGATATTAACAGAGTGGTTGAGAGGATACAAACAGCTGACTTACTATGTAAAGTGCCTGGTCTTTTGCCCCAAAGTGGGAGGATTCTCTGGCCACGTCCATCCCTTCCCCATCTAGCCTTCTGTAAAAGGGTGTTGTGTAAAGAAGTATGGGGGTTCTGATCTGATGGAAGAGAGCCTCTGAGGATGCTGGCTCTCTGAACGGGAGAGGCAGCCCCAGAACAGTGTTCTGTATGGGGTCTCTGCAAGTCTGATCACCTTTATTCACTGATAATGCTGACTGAAGATCCCCAGGGCTCAGAATTCAAGTTCACTGTACATATGGTTTGAAGGTCAGATGAGGAAGTGAGCCTCAGGGAATCTACAGAGATAAAAATTAGCTAGCTATCTTTGCTATCTGACAAGGAAGGACCCCATCGGTCCTGGCACAGGAGCACTGACCTTGTGTGTAAAAATGATCCTTTGTGGCTCCTGGTACAAGAGCTTCTAACCTGAGCGGATGAGTGAAAAAACGTGGTTGCCTGAAGATTAGTTTCTTTGGGTCTCCTGACTCCAATATAGATTTTATGTTATCTCAGTCTAAAGTTGGGAAAGATTGTGCATGAATGTTCGTTATTTCCCTTGCAGGAAGTTCTTTGCTGGTGGGGTATGTAGAACAAGTGCACAGCTTCCTGGGAAAGTGGTGGTGATCACTGGCGCCAATACAGGCATCGGCAAGGAGACGGCCAGAGAGCTCGCTCGCAGAGGCAAGTCCTCCCATGCCACCCTTCACCAACAGCGCCTCCTGCCTTGCTCCTTGGAGCTCTGCCTGCTCACCCCCCTGACTCCACCCCACCCCACCCCCTTTCTTTGTCCTTCCTCATGGGCTTGAAGGTTCTGACAGCAATTTGAAGGATCTTGGATTCCCATCCATCTAGTACACCAACTTTGTGGAATTTGACACAATCAACTTTCCTTCCTGTTCTTTTCCTGTTATGTAAAGTCAGGAAAATACTGATGTCCATGTATACTAATGGTCAGGTCAGTTATTCTAGAAGATGATATGAAGCAACATGAAATAGCACTGTCTTCTACAGAGTGTCAACCATATGAGGATTCCCAGTCTGAGGGTATGCCGACAGCAGTAAACTGGCTAGTGCTATTTGTGCAGGATCTTATAGCCACTCACAGGTTTGGGAAGGCCGGGAGATGCTCTGTCCACCAGTCGCAAGATCACTTAATATAGACTTCCTCTTTATAAACCCAGGGAACACTCTCTTTCTTTTGGCCCAGGAGCCCGGGTCTACATTGCCTGCCGAGATGTCCTAAAGGGGGAGTCTGCTGCCAGTGAAATTCGAGCAGATACAAAGAACTCCCAGGTGTTGGTGCGGAAACTGGACCTCTCAGACACCAAATCCATCCGAGCCTTTGCAGAGAATTTTCTGGCAGGTGAGGTCTCTAGAAGAACAGGAAGCTAGAAGTAGGAGTGGCTGCTCCACCCAGGGCCATCAAGGACCCTTGCATCAGAACCATCATCGACCCCACTGGACAGGTTCTGTCACATGAATCAGCAGGTCACAGGCGTGGCAGAGGGATAGCAGATGGACAAGCTGGGCAGGATCTTTATCTCCTATTTGCCTCACCAGTGGGAATGTTGGAGGTGTGAGTTCCTGTCTGGGCTTGCACCTTGACATCAAGGTGTGGCCCTCATGCCACTCTCTGCTTTCATTCTGAGAATCAGTTTTCTCTGGCCATACACGCCAAAATGAGACTGTGTGCTGCTGTCATCATTCGTGTGGGTCTTGCCAAGGGGCTAGCTTTTGTCCAGGACTACAAATCCCAGGAGGCTCAGGGACCATGTCTGTGTACTTTAGCACTGTATTCCTAGAGTGGGTCTGGCTCAGAGTTGGTACTCAGTACACATTTGTTGAATCAATGAATGAATGTTGTCCAGGAAAATATAAGTAACTAAAATGAAAAAACCCAATATAGATTCCAGGGCAATAGCTATGGAGTTTCACTGAGAATGGGTCCAAATGGGGAGAGTTGTTGACTGCTGAGGCAAAACTGTATCTTAGAAGACAGACGCCAGGGAGCGATTCCTACCAAATCTTTGTCCCATTGAAGACTACTTAAGAACAAAGGCAAGGGACAAATATTAAAGGCTATGACAGGTTCCATGCTAACCGCTGGGTTTGTTTGGCTCTGTTTACAGAGGAAAAGGAGCTCCATATCCTGATCAATAATGCAGGAGTGATGATGTGTCCATATTCCAAGACAGCGGATGGCTTTGAGACCCACCTGGGAGTCAACCACCTGGGTAAATATCACTGAGTGGCTGACAAGCGAAGCACATCCTACTTGTTCTCTGTAGGGAGACGAACCGATACCAGTGCTGAGAACCCTCAGTGGTCTTTGCAGAGCCCATGATTCTGACAGACTTTCCACAAAATGAAGTCCTCCCACCCATACCATGAAGAGACTCAAACCCTCAAGAGGTACTTGGGAGAAGAATGTCATACTTGGATGAAATAACAAAGCAAGCTTTGCCGGGCAAGCCCAAGCACAGAGGGGTGCAGCAATCTGGGTCTGGGCAGAGGGGCCACAGCCAGCTGAAGGTCAATCCAGCCAAAAGTTGGTCAGGCAAACCTGGAGGGATTGGGAAGAACGTGAGAGATGAGAGGGGCTGGTGTTCAGAATTCAAAATGAGGACTCGAGCGAGGGGAGCAGGAAGCCTGTTGTCTGATCTCAGGTCAAGGTTATTTTCCCTTGCCTATTTCCTCCCTGCCTCTACACACGAGCGTACCTATGACTATCGCTGTGGGGTCCTGGGAGAATCAAAGGCTAGCAGATTTGTATTCGTTTTAACTGGGTAAGGGCAGAGGTACAACTAAGCACCGATCTAGCCTATATTGTACCACTTCTAGGCTAGCTCTGGCCCTGGCCCTTGACTTGAAGCATCCACTCCCTCATGCTGACTCACCATTAGCATGGAGTTACTCGTAGCATCAAATAGGTTCTCATCTAGAAGAGAGGAAGATAACGTAAAGTCCTGTCATCAGCTTCTGCACCCTGATCCAGGTCTGCCACTCCACCCTTCAGTCTCTCCTGCTGGCTCTCCCCACAGGTCACTTCCTTCTCACCTACCTCTTGGTGGAGCAACTGAAGAAGTCTGCTCCTGCCCGGGTAGTGAACCTGTCGTCCGTGGTCCACCACGCTGGCAAGATTCGATTCCATGACCTCCAGGGTGAGAAGCGCTACAGCCGGGGTTTCGCCTATTGCCACAGCAAGCTGGCCAATGTACTTTTTACTCGGCAGCTGGCCAAGAAGCTCCAAGGTAACTGGAGAATCATGGCTGAAGTCAAGCTAACAAAAAGAAAATGGGTAATCCAGATTAGTGGTCCACGGGAACTTCTGAAGTCAGGCTGTCAGACTGGCACATGTCCCCAGTGGTTGCCAAGGAGAACGAGGCTGTAAATGGACCACAAACAGTTCTTGCCCCTGAGAAGCTGAAATTCTTAAAGTTACTGTATATTTAGCTTATATATTATTTCCTCTCTGTTGTCCCTTTTGCTTTTCACAACAACCCTTTACGACAGGCAAAGCAGGTGTGGAGATTCCTATTTTGTAGAGCAGAGCTGAGGCCTGAGGAAGTAGCTAGCCAACGTCATACAAGCACGTGAGGAGCTTTAAATCCAGGGTGCTTTCTTTCACTTGTCATCACTGAGGGCTTCAAGGTGAGCCAAGCCAGGGAGCTTGTACAGAATAAACCCAGACTCACTGCCCTCACCTTGAGTCTGACTCATAGCAACCCGACCAGATAGAGTAGAATTTCCCCTGTGGGTTGCTGAGGCTGTCCATCTTTACAGGAGTAGACAGCGTCTTCTTTCTTCCATGGAGTGGCTGTGGTTTTGAAGTGCCGACCTTGCTGTGAACAGCCCAATGTGTAAGCCATGAGGCCACTGGGCTTCTTTTGTACATCAGAAGTACTGAAAATAGTGGTGTCAGCAGGAAGGCTTTGGGAAAGCCTATCACCTTGACAAGTCCCATTAGCATTCCTCCATTGACACCTCATACACTGTGCTTGTCAGGCAAATGTAGTCCAAATCAAGGTCATTGGAAGAGGCCTCTTTATCAAAGAAAACAACAACGAGAAGATAGAGGTTTTCAATCAAAACAAAACATAACCCAAAGTAACCCCAGGCTCTCATGGTTACCAGGGGTAGAGGGAAGGGGTAGCTGTAGGTTAGAAGGTAGACAGGTGTTAACTCTAGTGAAGGGGCAGATCTTATCTAACAAGAGGGAGAAGAAAGGGAGAGGGAGAAAAAGATGCGGGGAAGGGGCAGGGGTGGGATAGGGGATGGTGAGGCAGACAGGGCAAGCTATTAGGATGCTTGATATGTTGTTTAAGTTGTTAATATGACGATCTGAAAGGTAAACCCATACTTAATATACAATAAAAAGTCAAAACAACCACAACAAAACTAAACAAACGAAAAACCCTAGCCCTCTAACTTCCAAACAGATTGCTACCCCTAAGCCCCTCCTACACAAAACATGAAAAATGTCACTCGATCATTGGTAATGATACTGCTATTATGTTATTGCTTTTCTTATCAATCCTTAAGCCACTGTGTAAAGAGGGCACTGAAACAGGAGGCTATTGAAGCCAGCAAGGCTGAGAGGGTTAGGAACCAAGGGGGCCTAGAAGATCAGCGATCATTCCAGATCCTTTAGCTGTGTGAGTCCGCATGGCTAGGTGAGGTGCCTCCTGAATCCTGGACGAACTGCCCATGTCCAGAAGCCCTTTGCCTCACGTGTCCATTGAGGTGCAGGGACATGGAGCATGCCCTTGGTCTAACCTTGCCCTCTTTGCCCTAGGCACTGGGGTAACCACATATGTGGTGCACCCCGGCATCGTCCGCTCCGAGCTGGTCCGCCACTCCTTCCTCCTGTGCCTGCTCTGGAGGCTCTTCTCCCCGTTGGTCAAGTCAGCGCGGCAGGGGGCGCAGACCACCTTGCACTGCGCCCTGGCTGAGGGCCTGGAGCCCCTGAGTGGCAAGTACTTCAGGTGTGTGTGTGGAGGGTGAGGGGGGGCGTGTTGGGAGGGCAGTGTAGTCCTTCAATATTATCTGTGTGTGTGGTGAGGCCCGGGGCCCAGGGCTTTACACCTGCCAGTGGCTGAGTCTGTGCTCGGTAGAATACAGTTAAGGGTTGTGCCCACAAACCAGTGTCACTTTTCTGAGGAAACTTCTCTTAAAAGTTGGGAAAGAGCTGATTTTGTGGCTCCACTTTATACCTGTTGGCCGTGTTGTCTTGTAAACTCTGTGGCCATCTGCAAGCTCTTAGAGAAGAGGCTGGGAAGGTCATTACCAGCCCCTCTGCATTCCTTTTATCTTCTTGTACTTTTTTGGCGGGATGAGCACTAGACTACTACCCAGAAGGCTGGCGGTTCAAACCCAACAGCTGCTTTGAAGGGAACAAGATGAGGCTGTCAGCTCAATAAAGAATTACAGTCTTGGAAGCCCTCAGGCGCAGTTCGATTCTGTCCTGTAGGATCGCTGTGCCTTGACATAGATTTGAAGGCTGTGACTTTGATTTGGGGGAGTTAAGCACAAAGTACCAGGTCACCTCTCCTCAGTGTGATCTCTCTCCTGTTCCCTGGTATTATCAAGATTGGCACAACTCAATGGATGATAGAAATAGAAATTAGCGTTGAATCTTATCGTTAACTCAACAGGTAAGCAGAGTTTGGGAAAAGAGGGCCACCCAGGATCATACGTGTTTTCTGCTCTAGGACTTGATCACACTTTGCCCACACTTGCCCACGGACACACCGTTTCTCAAGCACAGCAGGGGAAATAGCCTGTGTCCAACAATAAGGAAGCGGGTACATGAAATTGTTGCTTGAATCCATACAATCTTGTTGGTCTTCTTCGAAGTGTCTTACATATGTGAATTCATGTAATCAGCACAGCTCTAAGAAGTAGGTGACATTATTGTCCCCACTTTACAGATGAGAAAACTGAGGCAAACAAGAGCCAGGTCACTTGTGTAAATTCATGCAGTTTCTAAGTAGGGGGCCTAGGATATAAGCCCAGGAAGTCTGGCTCCAGACCTATGCTGTGCGATACAATTGCTACTAAGCACAGGTGTCATATCAAATTGAGATATTCTATACATGTAAAACATATGCTGGACTTTGAAGATGTTTTATATAAATACACATATACATGTATAAAGACTTACCGTATATACTCGAGTAGAAGCCGGCCTGAATATCAGCCAAGGCACCTAATTTTACCACCAAAAACTGCATTAAAAATTGTGCTGAAAAACTCGGCTTATACATGAGTATATACACGGTATGCATATATAACTGTATACGAAGAATGTAAAACATCTTGTTACTAATTTTTTATATGATTTCATGCCATAGTGATTTGGACATGTTAGTTGAAATGAAATATAGGATTGAACTTAACCTCACCTGTTTCCTTTGGTCTTCTAACCAACTGCGGCTTCTCATCAGAGCCCCACAGGACAGTGCTGATCTGAGTGCTGAGTTTTGCCACCTACGTGTGTGGTGAGTCAGCATTGACTCAGTGGCAGTGAGTTTGGGTTTTCGATTGTGAAGCCCTGGTGGCATAGTGGTCACACGTTGAGCTGCTAACCAAACAGCAGTTCAAAACCATCAATTCCCCCTTGGGAGAAAGATAGGGCTTTCTACTCCCATAAAGAGTTATGGTCTCGGAAACTCACAGGGGCAGGTGGACCCTGTCATGGGGTCACTGTGAGTCGACATCAGCTTGATGGCTGCAGGTCTGGTTGTTCGTCTGTGATTAAATATTACATTGTCACTCACTACATTGTCAGGTAATCTTTAAGACTGGGAACATGCTGATAACATGTGTTGAGGGGTAAAGAACTAGAGTTCACGCTGTCAGTGCCTGGAAAGTAGTTGGAAGGGATGCACAGCAGACGGGAGATAGTGGTTACTGCTGAAGAGATGAGAGTCGGAGGAGGAGGAGGACTCAAAATTTTCATTCTAGGCATTTTTTACTCTTTTTAAAATTTTAATCATTTTAATGGGGGCTCGTACAACTCTTATCACCATCCGCCCATCCATCCATTGTGTCAAGCACATTTGTACATTTGTTGCCCTCATCATTTTCAAAACATTTGTTTTCTACTTGAGCCCTTGGTATCAGCTCCTCGTTTCCCCTCCCGCATTTTTTACTCTTTAAAAACATTTAAGAGAGCCTACATTTCTTCCTTTCTTATATAATGAAAAACAGATTTTCAACAAGAGAAAGAAGATCCTTCCCAAACTCATTCAGTCTGATCCCAACTTTGCATCAAAGGAGAGAGAGATTTTGTATTTATTTGCACACTCAAGAAGCACACAAGGTTTTCAGGAAATACAATGATATAATAGACTTTTCTTCTTTTATTAGTATTTCACTATATTTTCCAAATGTTGCACAGGATTTCAAAAGAGTTGTTGACACACACACAGTATTAGCCAATTTAACAGTTTTCAGGTTCACAATTTAGTGGTATCAGTTACATTAATCATATTGTATACTCATTACCCACAATTATTCTTGCCCTGGGCTTTTATAATTTAATTTTTTTTAGTTCTGTAATTAAATGTTCTTTATAAGAACAGTGCCCTACTCTCACTTCCTGCATCCTTCTAGTCCCTAAGCCCCCCACCCCCACCCCAAACAAATGGAATGTGGGTTCTTTGTGTGTGTGGGGGGGGGAGTGGCTCATGGGGCACAAGGAGGGGGTTCAGTGAATAGAATTCCAAGGGTCCATGAACTTAAATGGGAAAATACCTTTGCCGTTATACAACTTAAACGAACATTTTCTTCTATTATCGATGTGGACAAAGAATTGCAATAGTGGTAGAGATCCCTGTGGCTCTGTCACAAAGAAAATAATAAATAGAATGACATCTGTGAGAGCCACAGCTCAGTGGGACTGCCTTATTGTCTCCAATCTTGCTGGGGCTCCTCCTTCCGCAGAGTGCGCTGTGGAAGCTGGTAAATCCCGCAATCTACAGGTGAGATGCCAGGCTACTGGCTTACAGGCCTGCAAATACTGGCGAATCCCTAAAAACATCAGGCTCAAATCCCAAGAACTGGAGGTCACATGGAAAGAGAGAGTCTTCAGAGAGAGAGAAAGAGAGAATGTGTGTAAGGAAACGCCTCTTACATCAGAGCAAGGGTCACACCCGCTTTTAAGTCTGTGATTCAAGCCGCACCCTTTTGTAAGGCTGTGACTCAAAATACACCCTAGCACTACTATTGCCTCAACTACTATTGCCTCATTAACTTATAGGGGCTAGGATTTATAATGCATAAAAGGAAGAATAGTTATATAACACCACAAAATGGAGGATAATTAATTAGATGAGAGAAGAGAGGACAGGCACGCCGTACTGGGAATCCTGGCTTAGCCAAGTTAGCACATAATGCGAAGCATCACCCCATCTTACACAGGTGCTGGCTCTCACAGATCTTCCTGGATTTTTGGTGGCAGGCATTACAGGTGTAGGTATCTCAGAATGTCGTTCCTACTCACTGCTACTTTGAACTTTGTAGTAGTAAACAGACCTAACACCTTATTACAGAACACATCTTAGTATAGATTACATGCATAAAGAAGCATATGTAGTCACACATTTGTTTTAAAGTATTTTTAATATTTTAAAGTTCATTACAGTCGGCTTACTTCAATGCAATGTATTATATTTTACGCACTTGGGAACAGACTCGGAGAGAGACTTCATAAGCTTTCCACTGGGTTTGGGCACACACAGGGTAAGAGTCCTGGGGATAAAGGAGGCAAGGGGTTGCTCCTTCTTTGAAAGATGTGAGAGGGTGAGCCACACAGGACAGGGTGGGCACAGATTAGTGAAGTCTCTGCATCTTTGGTCCATCAGATCGGGGGACTGTTCACTGTACCTCGATCTCTACACCTGCATGTTGACCTTCTTTCTCTGTCCTTCAGTGACTGCAGGAAGGCTTGGGTGTCTCCCAAGGCCCGAAATAACCAAACTGCAGAGCGCCTGTGGAACGTCAGCTGTGAGCTTCTCGGAATCCAATGGGAGTAGCCGGTGGAGGAGCCGAAGCTCTTTTTCAGGCCCTCATGAACGGGGGCCGAGGAGAAGGCAACCTTGCAGGACTGCCTTCCCGGCTGGCTGCTGCTGCAACTCAGGCCCTGCTCCAGTCCTCCTCATCCATCTGGAAATCTCGGCACACTCATCCATCTTGTGAGGCTGGCTCCTGCCATGAGATGCTCACACCTCCACAGCAGGATGCTATGGACTTCTAAGGAGAGTGGTTCGGTTCTGGGAGCAGGAAGACTGGGCAGATCCCAGGCTGGGCATACAGATGTAGCTGAAGAATCTGGGAAACTGGGTGCGCGTCCACCCTCCATCCCTTTAGAAACCACCAACCCATGTCCTCCGCGGGCCGGTGACAGGGGCATAGGTTCAGATTCTTGATCGTTTCCTTTCCGCTCTGAAATACTAGCCACAGCCCTGGAGTCCGGAGCAACTCAGAAAGAGCTTGGCTAACTCTGGCTGCATTCGAGTTTTTCCTTTGAGCATCTGGGAACCACTTCTTGTCAACCATACAAACAGGGTCTTTTTCTAGAGTTTTCTTTATGTCACTTTGTAGGGAAAATAAAGAGTACTTTGTGTCTTGTTCATTTCCTTCAGGCACTTAAGGAGAAATGGCAAAAAGAGGAGCATTCAGGTTTGGTGAGTAGTGTATCACCCTACTCACCTACCCATAACACCATTCAGGGTTGGCTTACTCAAAAAAAGCAAAGCAAACACAGGTTGACTTGTGCTTATTTAATCATCTGTCATGAACAATTTCCTTTTCCTTTTTCCTTTTAACATCATCAAAGAGTCTGCTTTTAGTCCTGGCTGGCATCTGTCTCTCTCCCAGACCCACAGCTCCTTCCTGTAGCATCAAAGCTTCTTTCCATATTTATGCCCCTTGGTGGAATGAAGTACTCAATACTCAGAGTACGCGCGGGCTTCTACTTGGGCTTACTGATGAATCTGTCGTGAACAATCGCCCGTGAGTTTCAACATAGGGAAGAACGGATAACAGTAGTTTGAGCCAGAGTCTGTCACCCACGGGAGGAAAAACTTATTCGCCTTTGGAACTTTGGGAGCTGGAGGGCTGCCTTTGAGAAATGGAGAAATCCTTTGCTGAGAAGAAAGCAGAGAGTAGTGAAGGCTTCATTCCGTGGTTTCAGGGAGAGGAGATGTCATTCCTGGCATTATTACCTAACCCCGATGGTGGAAAACACAGAAACTGCTAAATTGCTGCACGTTTAGTTTCCCAGTCTTCCTTTTCACACATAGGAGCGCCTGGGTTCCTGACGCAATTGTCCTTTTCAACAACCCTTGGCAAGGACGACACAGCTCAGCCAGCTCAGGGCTGGGGAAGGGGCCTGATTATTGCTAACCATCGCGTTACACGGCCTCATGTATAAAGAAGCTTCAGAAAATATTATGTGATCGGGGAAAAGAGTTTAAATCTAGAGATTTTTATTCTATTCCAAATGGTCAGATGCATTTTCACCTGAGTGACATCAAATGTGTGAGAATTGGGCAGCAAAGAATGAAAAACAAAATCTTACCTGTCAGGTATTGGTTTTTTGTGTGTGTTGTTATAAATTTTGGACTATTAAACCGTTGTTATTCCATTTGTTTTGACTCCAGACTCCATCATTTCTTGTGCCGTCCCAGTGCCCGCCTTAAGCACAGCCTCCCTCGGTGCAATTCTTCTGAATCACACTGTGCTTGGCTGTGTCTAGGCCTCAATAGCTTCCTGCTCATTGCCAAAAGCATTATCTAGTCATCACAGTCTGGGCAAGGAAGAACTCCCAGGCTTGGCCTCTTGTTGCATTCCCAGAAGAGACTTGCCCCAAATTAGCAATGATGCAAGGGAAAGGTCTTACTCAGCATAAACATTGCTGGGAATCAGGTGTCTTAGTCATCATTCAACCTTCTCTTGGTTCCACCTGCAACCACACCAGAGCATTTTCTTCCTCTGCTTGTGCCACAAACATGACTTCTTGCTGGGCAGAGTTCCTCTGAGGGCACAGGAGGCTAGATCCTGGTCTGAAAGGCTTGGTACTTGTCTGTGTGTCCTACCCTCACTGCTTTCACTATCCCTGGCTTCTCTTAGGGTCTGGGATCCTTAGCTAGTCTAGCCTCTCACACTCTCTGCCTTCGAGTCATTTCCAACCTACAGCCACCGTCTAGCACAGAGGAGAACTGCCCCGCCGGGTCTCCAAGACGAAATCTTCATCGGTGTAGCTAGCTAGCCTCATGTTTCTCCCATAGCCTAGCCTGTGAGTAGAAAATACCTTTTCTCTTTGGCTCCCCTGAGACTGAGGTGTTCTTCAAGATAAAATTTGTCTGGGAAATGAAAGGCAAAGAATACCCAAGAGATGATCCAAAAGCTGAGAAGCAAACAAGTTCCAGAGCACAGCTGACGTAAGCGATGACGACCTGCCACCCATAATTACTTCGGTCTGTGTCTAACTCAACTCTGTACACATCTTCAAGTCCTAGAGGAGCTACCCCATGACATTGTGTGTCAGACTCTTTTCATTGCATGACAGAAACCCAAAACTAGACCAAAGATCAAGGGATATTTGGCTAGAAAATTGGAGGGAATCCAAGTGAAATGTGGAAAGACGGTTTTTTTCAGAAGTAGCCAGGATCAAGAGCTCAAGTTCTTCCAGGATCCCTTCTCTATTTTCCTCATATGTACCTTTCTCTAAGTGATAAATTTAAAAAGCATTTGAGATCATCAATGCTTGGGTCAACCATCAAGGTTCATGGAAGCGATAGTGAAGAAATTAATGCAATACATTGGGAAAATCTATTGCAAAAGGCCTCTGTAAGGTTCTGTTTGATTATTCAGGTTGTATGATCCTAGGGTGTTTTTGTTTGAACATCGAAGTGTGTGTATGTGTGTGCCATCATACATTTATCCATTCTTCCACTGAGAGGTATTTAGGATGTTTTCATGTTTTGCTATTGTGATTAGTGCTGTGATGAACATGAGTGTGCATATATTTAGTCATGTATTTATTTTTCTAGGCTATATGCCAAGGAAAGGGATTACTGGGTCATATGGTATTTCTATTTCTAATTAATGTTGATGGGAGTGCTAGACCATTTTCCCTAGTGGTGGCACCATTTTGCATTCCCACTAGCAGGGTCTGAGGATTTCTCTCTCCACATTCTGCCACTGTTAGTTGTTTTCTGTTCTTTTGAACTTTGCTAATACTGCTGAGGTGAGATGATCTCTCATTTGAATTGGATTTGCAGCTATCAAATGACTTAACGATCACTAGTGTTTCTTCATATTTGTTTGCTGCCTTAATATTTTCTGTGTCGAAGTGTCTGTTCATGTCTTCTGCCCATTTGAATATTGGATTATTTGTCTTTTTCTTGTTGAGGTATTGAAGCTTTCTATACACTTTAGATATTGGTCCCTGTCTGATATGTCATTGCCAATATTTTTCTCCAGCTCGAAGGCTCTCTTGGCACTCTTTTGGTAAAACTTTTTGATACAAATCAATGTTTAAATTTTAGCACACTCAGTCATCGAGTTTGTCTTCTGCTGTGTGTGTGTTTTCAGTAATATTAGATAGTTTATGCTATGAATTAGGGCCTTTAGTTTTGTCCCTAATTTTTCACCGATGATTTTATAAATAGTTATATTGCAATATACTTCACAATTTAATCATTCAATCATATTAAGAAGATTTGTGTAACCATCACCTCCATCAATTTCAGAACATTTTCTTTATTGTACTCATTCGAAGCTCCCCATCCCACTCCAAGCTTCCCCTGCCATACCCCTAGGCAATGATCAATTCAGTGACCATCTCTGTCGATCTACCTATCCTGGCTTTCATAGACAGAGAGTCATACAGAACTCAATCAGGAGACAAGCAAGCAAGCAAACAAACGAAAGCAACAGTGACTAGACAAAGTATGGAAAAACTTCAATCAAGAAGAAAACAGAAACTTAAAAACTGAAACAAAAATGGGTCAAAAGGGAGATCAAATGATAAAATGTTACATTTTAACCTAACTACATCAGTCATATTCAACTTTACAATGAATGCTCTCTCACTGACAGCAAGACTATTTACATCTCTCATCTATGGTCAGAGGGAATTCATCAGAGGCTTAATTCATCTGTACATAGATTTGGGACTTTCACTGTCATCCATAACCTTTTGTAAACCGGTTGTTCATCATTTAAATTCTTATGCCTTTCCGTCCTTCAGATTTGGATTGTATTATTTATACTCCCTGGATCACACAGGCTTGTGAGTTTTCTTCCATGTAGACTTAGTTGACATATCACTTAGATGGTTGCTTGTTTTAAGACAAACCTTTAAGACTCTGGATGCTATTATTTCTGATAGCTTGACACGATATCTCCAATGAGCTCTTTATGAGGGTGAGCATCAAGCAGGGCCATGTCATAAGAACTAATTGTTCTTAGATTAGAGTTAGAATTAAGTATGAGACCCAAATCCACTTATATATCTTTGGTTTTAATATATCTCTGGTTCACTTTAGAGACATTATTATTAATTCATGCTTATAAAACATTAGAAATCATCCCCCTGGGCATAAAATAATTCTACTGATAGTGTCATTCATTTAGCCAATGTTACAGAATCTGAAACACTGTTGAGAAAAAGAAATTATACAAGTATGCACCAGTTTCAGTGTGCTTGACCTAAATCATGATATTTCCAATCACCTCATATGCATGAGGAAGCTAGACAATGAACAGGGACGACCAAAGAAGAATTGATGCCCTTGAGTTATTGTGTTGGTGAAGAATATTGAAGGTCCCAAAGTTTCCAGGGGCTATCAGAAGAACAAACAAATCTGCATCCAGGATGCTCCTGAGAATTGAGGCTGGATGGTGAGATTGCACTATCAGGAAAGACCAACTCACTGCCAGGGTCAGTTTGTATTCTGGCTTATAGTGCCCCTACCGGACAGCTCAGAACTAACCCCTTGAGTCTCCGAGGTTGCAAATCTCCACA